TTATTTGCATTATTTTCAGACAAAACAATTTCGACGTACATAAATTTAGTTAAAAATATCATAAGGCTGTGTAATGCATGTTAACTTTATCTAAAACCAAATTTAATTATATCTGATTTTAAAGAACCAATTCCTGTAGTATTTAGATAAATGTGGGACGATACTAAAATATTCCATTGTAGATTTCATCTAACTCAATCTTGATATAGAAAAATTTAGAAATTTTACTTATTTAATATATACATCAAAATAATAAAACAAAAGAGAGCAAGTGACTAAACCATATATTTGGATTGCCATTTCTTTCTTCAAATGAGGTCAATGATTGTTTTATTGAAGAATTTATGTCATCGATTCCTAATGACATAAGATTTTAAAAATCTGTGGATTATTTAATTGATACGTATACCAGTGCAGAAGCTAAATTTTTGCCAATAATTCTCGCTACAAACATTGGAATCATTGGATCACTCTAGCTCTCACTACAAATTATTGCGAATTATATTCTTCACGATTCAATTCCGAGTTCTATCACCCACATCCTCCTATTAGTCCTATTTACTATTTCTTAGATGTATTGAAACATAAACTTTGATTACAGTTAAAATTATACATCTCAAAAAACAGAATTCTACTTTAAATAAAAATTGGTTAGAAAACTTTCAACAAATTTATGAAGACTACAGACAAAAGAAAAATTAGTAGAAAAAGCTTAGTTTCGTCTTTAGGTTACAAGTATAAAAAAGGAAGTAAGCTAGATATTATAAGTTTTATTTAATAATTTATTAAATAATAAATAATTATTATAATATTACTGATTTTTATTTATTTCTATATTAACTGATATTTTACTTATTTAAATACTCAATGTATTAAATAAAGCACGTGTTTTTAGTTATTTTTAAGTGACATAAATTATAATTTTAATAAGGTGAAAATAACGCTAAATACAATTTTTGTAAATACTCGTACAATATGGTGTAAATTACATATGTATTTATTTAATTTATTTTTTTGATTGTTTTTGGCGTAAATTACACATGTCCATTCAACTATAGCGCGATTCCATTAGATGACATAAACGTCACCTTTAAATATGTCACAACTTAATATAGCCAATATAGGTTAGGTATAATAGATAGTAAGTACGTTTGGATATAAGTTATTTTATTATGTTACACCTACATGATATTTAATTTTTCAGCTATTAGTAGAATTTATTTATACATAGCTTTGTAGTTTGTATTTATTACTTATCTATATTTACAAAAATACTTTCAATTTTCAATATATATTAAATAGTTACAGTCCAACTACTTACCTATAAATGTATATAGTGTTTTATTCAAACTTGTATACGTAGTGAATGTTTATATGTTTATATAATCATAGAGTAGAAAGAAATCTAACTATGTATATTACTTTTTTATTTTAGGTATATTATTATAAATTATTATTATCATAAAATTATTATGCATATGAATAATGTACACTATACATTTTTAAATCTAAAAAACTATCATATTTGCGGAATTAATGACTCGATACTGCAAGATTTTATAGTTATATGCCCAGGATTGTCATTTTTGTATTAATAATAGTTTTATGAACAATCGCGCTTTATTATGAAATGAGATAAAAAATATATTCTAAGATAGCATTATATTTATTTTATATTTAAATAGATAATACAACTCGTAAAATAATAAACAACAATAGAAAAAAATCATATTTAGTAGTTATCAAAGACTTAATTGTTAAGCTACTGATAAAAGTGTTAATATAGAATGTAAAATAGAGTATCATTATTCATTATAAATAATATCATAATTATTCATATACAATCATATACATTCATACAACCAGACAACCATAAAATAGGCATAACTATATAATACTTAAATATTATATTAACATACGATGAGTACCTAGTAAAATATGTGATTTATATGCAGACACACCCGATTGAAGAAAACCATGTATACCTATTTGCTTTAGCAATTGAAAGGGGGTTTTCAATAAATTTAGCTTTTGTTATTTATCGCTGTGTAAATGTGACATACCCAAAAAGGAACACAAATCAAAATTTTTTGTTTATAAAACTTAGAGTATTCGAAGTTTTAAATGTAAACATCCGGTTTAAATTCCTTAAATAATTTTACACGGGTGTATATAACAATGTTTATAGGTACCTAACCTTAACTATAACCTATTGTTGGTTAATTATATTTAAAAAAAAAATTATTTCTTACGAATTTAAAATGTATTAAGTAATAGCGTATTATGAATTAACTAGATAGGGCCAAGTAATGTTTTTTTTAAAAAAAAAAACGTATGAATATTAGATACGAGTATTTATAGATAACGTAAACAATGTTTACATTTAATATAATATGACCAAAAAGTTCTTTATCCTTCTTAGTATCTCCATGCAAATCAATACATTTCAATGCAATTTTTTTTTAACAGAAATATGTAAGAAAACTGATTTTGAAACGTATAAGTTTCAACATTTTTCAAGATGGTAATTTTTTGATTATATTTATTACAACAGTTTAAATAAAAAATATTGAAATCCAGTTAAAATCGATTAAACTAAGATGAGTTAAGTTTTTGATTTCATAAGAATAATAATATAATCAACAAAACACGAATATTTTATTCAATACTTATTTGAATGACGATTTTTTTTTCTATGAAAATCTATAAATATTTAATAATAATTAGAGTGAAGCTTAATTGGTTGGAGTTTTCAACAAAGATTAAAATTATAGGTAAATAATTACGATTAAAAAATAATATTTTCATTAATTAAAGAAAAATTAATTTCAATTCATATAAAACAAAAATAATTTACATTTTTTTTATTATTATTATTATTAATGAGAGTGACCTTTATTGTTTGTAATATAGAATTTAAGTTTATCAACTTTAAGTGCTCATAATATTTATTATTTTCTAATGTCTTAGGTATGATATTTTTAATATTTTGTTTAATTTTATAATGGAGATCAAATAATGAATATATGGGTGCACCGTATACACAAAATGTTTGAAATAACTATTAAAAAAAATCCATTGATATCAAGTTGAGGGTCTGTGTGGTTTAAGTACTGGATCATTAGGATATCTTGGGAGATGGTAAACTGCGGCAAAATTTACCTTTTTCTAAAAGTCGATATGTAAACTGCGGCAAAAAAATAATTAAGATTATACAAACTGCGACAAAACCGATAAGGTACATCATACAAACTGCGACAATTAATTTTATATACTTATACACGTTTATTGTTTAATTAGGTATAATACGTATTACGTGTTATGACAGCTATTAGTATCTCTTAGAGTATTAGTTGTAAAAATAAAGAAAAACCAATTTTTAAAATTGAAAAATATATTATTATTAAAAATTAGATCGTAATGATTGTATAATCAAAAAACCAATTTTAAAATTAAAAAATATTATTACTATATTAAAAATTATTTAAAAAAATCGTATAATCAAAAAAAAAAAAAAAATAAATAAATAAATAATAATACAATAGGTATCTAATTAAATTGCCGCAGTTTGTATGATGTATCTTATCGGTTTTGTGGCAGATTATATAATCTTAATTTTTTTTTTTGCCGCAGTTTACATATCGACTTTTTGAAAAAGGTAAATTTTGCCGCAGTTTACATACAGTCGATATCTTGTACCCGTCCATCTCTCCGTAAGTGCTCATCTAGATAATATAACCTCTTGCGACATAGAAATTATAATTCGGGGCACCGTTTTGAATAAAAATTAGACTCTATACCTAATCTATTTAATATATTGAGAAATTATTGGCTTTTCTCGTTCTTCTAACAAATTTCTACTAATGTTCACTGTTTAAACTTTAAATTACCTACCTTTGATAAAAAAAATTAACCCATTCTAAATATTTTAGTCCAAACATTTAATTTTTCAATATTTTGAGTAGGTATGGAATTTAATAGTTTTGTGTAGGTTTTTGTTTAATCAATGTACGGTATATATTAGCTTGTCATTGTATTACAAAAACATATTTTGTCGAAAAAATTAATTTTTCTCCAAATATTAAATCCTGGCCTATTCTTGTATTCTATATATACATAGTGTATCCGTTCACCAATTTATAAATGTCTTTCATTATCGTCAGAATTAAACATTGAAACTGTTTAACATAAAGGTCATAAAGTATGTTTTAAAAAATAAGAAATTATAAATTAATTATTAAAAAGTTGTTAACATTGTAGTAAATACTAATTACAAATATCTTTAAATTTACAAATTGTAAGCTGTTGTAGAGTAAGCATTATCGTAAATTTCCAGGAATATCAAAAGCTGTGAAAAATGATAAATTATTTCAGTTAGGAATTATCTAATATTTTTGATATTATAGAGTTAGATTTAATACATTAAAAAATCTCACAATATATTTTTAAGCCCTGAAACCCTGTACACTTATTAAAACACCTACCTAAAAAATATCCTGGCTACGCGTCTCTTTATAGCTACTTATCTAATACTAATGTCAAATGTTTAGAATATTTATATACGTTGGTATAGCCATGTATAGACACGAATGTACGATACGCTAATCCACTTCCAATAATACACTAAATAGGTGTAATAACGTAATATAATAAATTTTATAAGCCATTAAAAAACATAATAACGACATTGTTGTTCGCCCGTGTTCGTGCACAGAACAAAAGAAAAAAACAATTTATTAAATGACTTAAATAAAACAAAAGCGAAAAGTCACTGCGGTAAATGAATAGATGATGCCTATATATATATGTGTGTGTGTGTGTGTATCTATATAGGTAGGTACTGCAGACACAATAAATTGTAATAAATAATAATTGCAGCTACCTATAGAGCCGCATTGTCGGCTTATTGCGTCGACAGACCGACCGGCGACGGTGAATAATTTAACAATAGTTGGCCTTAGGACAAATATATACATTGGATCAGATGGCAGAACGGGAGGACCAATTAAATAGTTAATACAAAAAATACACAATTTAGTGTACGACAATATTATTATTATAGTAGTGATTCGTAGCACGGTCGCATGGACTACAATCACCACAATAATAGTCAATACCGGATTATTAGTTATTACCACAAGACACACCGGGAACAGAGAACAGAGTCTGTTCAACAGACTCAAACGGAGTAACAGTCAACAGACCACGACGTATTATTTTGTTATTACTTATTATCAATTCTGTGCCAACCGTTCTATAAAACCGCAGTCCGACGGCGGTACGCAGACGCGTCAGTTCAGTTCAGTACCACTGTTGCGGAATCCATTCTCCGACCGCGTACTATCACCGATTGTTGATAACGCGCTTTGAATTTCTGATTAAGAAAAACCAAGACGTCCCGAGCTCTCGACCGACAGTCAAGTGACGACGTTCTGCCTTTTGCCTCACTCGATTCTGCAGTACTGAATAAACGACCGCAGTCCGCGATATTCCTGTTTCGCCACCTTGCAATTTTTATAGCCGCCCACACTGTCTCCGAGCACAATACGAAATACAATAATAGATCGTCCGAAAATGGTGGTGAAAGTGTACATGTCCGGCATATCGGGTAACAAGGAGGTAAGTCGCGTGCGCGGACGTTCCGCCGATGTCTTTTTGTACGTTTTGGTCTTTCACACCTTATGCTGTTGCAGGTGAAGAAACGCCAACAGAGGGTCACCATGATATTGGACAGCAAAAGTATATCGTACGATTTGATAGACATCACCGAACCAGGGAAAGAGGACGAGAAGGCGTACATGCAGAACAACAGCAAGACCAAGGATGGTTCAAAAAATGCTCTACCACCCCAGATATTTAACGACGATGTTTACTGCGGGGTTAGTTGATTTTTTTTGTGTGTATCATGCCAAATAAACGCACCCAAAGTTAGTTGTAAAATTGAAATATCACAATATTTAAATGGTTATTTCTACTCGATATCAGACTGACACGGATAACAATATTAAAATTTGTAGCTTTATGATGTATGAAAGTATTTGCTGGTTGATTTGTTTACTAAATATTAGATAGTAATAAATTCTGGAGGAGAAATCTTTATTTACCATATTAGGAAATAATGAATGTTATATTCTGAAATACTTTTCTGCCTTGTCATGTTCTAAATTTTTAGAACTTGGTTCATTATTATTTATTATGTTTCTAATATTTATTTTAGAAATTAACCATTGGTTGAAAATGAAATGAAATTACATTTTATACGACCTAGCTTATTATGAATATATTTACATATAAATTTGTTCTTTAAACTTATCATTTGATAAGATAATGAAATAAATCTTTTATTACTTTTTTAATTTTTCGGATATTTTATTTTAATAAATATTAGTTTTGTATTAAATAAGCAATGATATGTTATACAGGACTATGATGATTTTGATACGGCTAATGAATTGGATGAGTTGGATAAATTTTTTGATATTTCTACTAAAAGTCCTCCTAAAGAATTAAATGGCTCAACTACTGTGGTAAATAATTAAATATTGATATACTTATACTTACCGCATGTTAAAAGCATGACTGGGCAACAGCCAAATTTGTGTCCTATAACATGCAGTCGACTTCTGATTGGTTTTTTAAACTCATCTACCTCCTATTATGGTGGGTGAGGCAGTGAAGGATGTTGTTTTGGATGCATGACTAGTCATGCTCTTAATATACGGCTACGATAGGCGAGTGTTAAATTTATGTTTTACTAATTTCATAATATCTATATTTTCAGGAAAATGTTAAAAATGAAAGTACTAATGAAGTCAATGATTCAAATGATGGGTAAATTCTTAAACATTTTAATTTTATTTTAAGTTAGATACATACTTATTGATTTAAATATTTAAAAAAAAAATTTAATTTTAAATAGTACATAATAGTCCCTTTACTCCACATTACAATTACCTCTTTTTTATTATTAAGTTTCTATTGAATGCATTATAATTACAATTTTTAATATTATCAAAAAATAATATTATACTAGAAATTAATATCTACTTTTCAGTTAGTTATTTAAAAAAAAAATTAAATTTATAGAAAACTAGAAATTAAATTGTGTACTGATTAAATAAATAATTTTAAATTTAAATTAATACCATCTTTAGAACTGTAAAAGAAAATGTAAATGAAGAACAACAAGAACCTTTGACTTCTGATGACGAAGATAGTGATAATGAATCGCTTGACACACAGGTGACAAGCAATTTTTCAAAATAATCATTTATAATACCATTTTAACAAATTTATCCTATTAATTGGATGATCTGTGGATTTTTTTAACATTATTTTTTAATGTTTCACTACAATAATTGATATTGTTAATATTAGCACACAATAATTAATAATTATGCAATAGTATTTGCACTTATTAACACAATTATTTTTTTCTAATGAAATTAACATTTAATATGTGTGTTGATTAATACATAAACTAAAATTGATTTACAACCAGTTGAAGGAAATGGGGTTGTAACATGATTTAAATCAAGAATATTGTGATGGTATATTCTTTTTGAATATTTGTAAATGGTTAATAAGAAACTAGTTTTCTCCTATAAATGTAGCTTTTACTATTTATAGCCTCCTCCAAAAATAGATCCTAATTGTACCTATCCTTTGTAAAACAATAGATTAATAGTTTTTTTAGTGTTAGCTAATTGGAAGAGTTAAGAGTTTGTTAAGTAGGTTTTTCAAAATTAATTTTATTGAAATAAATGTTTTCAAAATTTTTAAATTAAGTTTGAATTACAATAAGTTGATAATTTATGAATAACTCATAAATGTAATGTTTATTACAATACTAGTATTAATTAATTATTTGTTATACTTTGTCTGTTGCTGTAAATTATATTTACTTTGGCTAAGTACTTATAGGTCAAAATATTTGTAATGTTTTATATTATAATTGCATGAATATATTTTTTATTTAATTAACATTGCATTCTTTATTTTCTGAGTTATAAAAATGTATGCTATTTTTTTGTCTAATATTACAACGTTATATTTTGTTTGCATTTTAGAACAAATTGAAAGAAACAACAGGTCCAAATTCCGTCCCACTTCCAGATGAAACAAATGTATTATTGGATATCCCAGAAACTAAAAAAGATTTGTTATCAGAAACCGAAGAAGAAATTGAAGAGTGAGATTTTTTAGTTACTCAACATTTAATAAACAAAAATGTACAAAATTACGATAATTTTTGATTTGCTGCCTTTACTCTAACAAGTTTTTGATTTAATTTAATTTAATTTATTTATTTATCTTTCTTTAACAAAAGTTACTATATTTTTTTAGTTTGAAAATTCAAGTATTAGGCTTATTTTTATTATTATTATTTATGTTCAATACCACTATAATTCCTTAAACAAGTATTCGATGCTTAAAATATTTATGATGTCATTTTTATCCATAACCACATTTTATTTATATATGTAATTATTGGTTCTAATTCATTTATTCATCTTAAGAACAATTTTTAAATGTCAATTGATGTTTAGTGAATAAATACATTATTGTGCTTCATATTATACATTTTATTTTATTATATTTATTTATTTATACAAATACATTTTAAGAAATGTTTTTTTTATACTAATAATGTTTTGTTCAATGTTAAAAAGGTTGTATGAATAATAATATATTTAATTGATGGAGGCAATAATCTAATATTGTCAGTTCAGATTTAATTTGAATTGCTTAAAACCCTTCTATGAATAATAGTTGACTTTAAATTGTATACCTTGTAAACCATTTGGGCATATTGTACATAATAAAATTTATTTATTATTGAGACTATTGATGGATGCTTAATACAATTAACCAGCATTTGACTGTCTTATTATATAACATATTATTTAAAAATTATAATGTTATAGTAATAAATCATTATTATTAATATAATTTTTTGTAACAATTATTTTTAACAATTATGTTGTTGCATGTTGCATTGTAAGTATTTCTGTTTATATAGATTTTAAATGTTTATTCACCTCGTTTAATATTTAAAGTTTTGAGCTTACTAATTTAAATTGTTTTTGCTTTTTAAATAATAGTAAAATTTCAGTAAAATGTGTTCACTGTTTTCAAAAAGATAAGTTACTTGTACAACATATGTTAGGAAAACAGTTAAATTGTTTAATTGTTTTCATTTATTAGTTATTGTTTAAGTATTGTATCCATCTTACAAACATACAATATAAAGATAAAAAAAAACAGTATTTTGAGTTTTAACTTTTATGCAAATTATGAGCATGTATGATACCCAAGTATAAAAATTCTCATAATTAGTTTAAAATTTAAAATAGGTATCTTAACAAACTGATGAGAGATAACAGATATTGTTGTTTAATAATAGGTCAATTTGCTCTAAAATTAAAAATGACAACATAATATCGGTTTTACTTAAAACAAATATGTTTGTAAGACAGAGAACACAAGTGTAGCATCATTGTGATTCAATAATTAAAAAAACTGCTAAGTGAAGCATATTAAGCCTTTTATAATGAATTATGTTATATCTCTTATACAAGTCATTTATCACTTATTAATTTGTTATAAAATAAGAAAACATTTTTTATACATAAAATATTAGTGTATTATTTACTGATCAAATTCTGTAAAATATATTTGATAAAAAATAATCAACTCGGTTTGGAAACTAAATCACAAATACTTCAGATACTTTTCTACTGACCTCCATGTTTGAGCTTTTGAAACAACACTTGGTATGTTTTCCATTGAAGTCGACAAAATATGTTTTTCATTTTATAATAAAGCCAATACAACTAAAGCCTAAACAAGAGGTAAATTTTCTTTTCATGCTAAAAAGGAACATCGATGTTTTGTCTTACAATACTAGTCTGTCGCCTCTCTCACGATTATCCATCTGTACTTTGTATTCTGTACGAGTCGTATGAAATACATCTGTTATTCAGTAAATTCTTGATCCCACGCCCAATCAGCCAGCTAGGTACTATCAAAATGTGGATGTAGTATTATTGAAACCAAAGATATATATTAATACATATTAATATAATATATCTGTGATTGAAACAATTAAAATATTTTAGATGATAGAATGATAAAACAAAATTAATCATATATTTATTATACATGTATTTAAACATTTTAAACTGATTTAAATATTTTATTTAAAAATAATAACTAATAATACAATTATAAAAAATCTGTGATATTTTATATGTCAAATTGTTATACTTAGAAGAGCATACCGGTAATTATTAGTACTGGGATTTCGAACCAGAACATATGGTAAATTTGTTTTAGATTCTGACCAAAGGTTGAACAATTCCATTAATGCAGGGCCAGGCATGTAACCAATACCAACATATTTAGATTTAGTAAAACTAAAATGACTATTGCATGAGAAACCTAAAATTATACGACTACAACTGTGTTTTAAGGGTGTTTGTTCTTCGGGAATCCATAACTTTTTCATTTGATTTAAATATTCCTTGACTATTTGTGAAGTTGGAGATACCTTGAGTTTAAATCGTTTACATAGAATGTTTCTATTTTTCTTTTCTAACACACGTTTACGTCTCAGGGATCTCAAAAGTTTTTTGTGTTCCAAACGATAAACTTTTCGCTTGAAAGCATTCAAATCTTTGTGAATTTTTTCTAAAGGACATAAGTTAGATTTATCCCCAATGTTATTTAAATCATCAAGAGTTGGTAAACATACATGCGAATTAGGCTTCAGAATGCCTTTCTGCAATAATTCAAGTCTAATGGGTACTAAACATGTTTGTAAGTCAGTACATTCAGACTTTAAATTTTCTAAATTAACTTTTTCTTTTAAATTTAAAGTTAAATTTTGTAGTTGAGCTAATAACTTAACATTACGCAATACAAATTTATTCTTAGAGTTTAACATCCATTCATTACAGAGAATGTCCCAAGGACAATGAAATGGAGTCTGAAAACCTAATTTAATGTAATTAACTCGCATTTGTGGAGGAAGCCTAAAATGTTTTTTCATAGCTTCTTCTTTTTTTAAAATAGCTCTCAGGTTTCCAGCATCAGTATCCGGTTCATCTGATCTAGGTAAACATCGTTCTAGTATCATGGTTGTAGTTTCTCGTAGTCCTCCAGGTTGACATCCATTCATAATGAGGCCTAACCAAAATGGCATACCCCATCCAGCTGGTAAGACAATATCCCAACCACTACCATAACCTAAGACAATTATGTTTTTGATTAAATAATTTACTTATTAAATGAATTAATTTTAATTAAATAACCTGGTCTAGTAATTGGATGACACTGCCCAGGTCGTTGAATTAAAAGTATTGGTATAATAGACATTGAGTGTTCATCTAATGCAATTTTGTCATTGCCTTTAATAACACAATTACTACGTAACATATTAATTTCACAATTGGGCATCTTATTCTGTGTTGACCAATCTCGAACCTTTGAATCCCAAATTTTAGAAACACTTGCTGTCATGGGAAGTTGAAATGAATAGTCTTCTGTTAGTAAAAAATCTAAAAATCAAACATTCTTAACTAATTAAACTATTTATTTATTTTATAAGTAAACTTATAAATATTTAAAAAACCTTTTGAAATAGGTAAAGCTTTTGTTCTCTTCATTGGAAACACCAGCCTTGGATCAATTGTGTGAAATCCAATCACACAATTTGATGGATATGATTCTGGTCTATCAGCCCCGCTTAAAGATTCCCAAAGTTTTGTTTGAATATTAGTAGAGCTATTTAGATCTTTTAAGTGAGATGACCACCAGTTTTTATCAATATTATTTGAATTAACCAAAACAGCAGGATATAATATACGACTCAAAACACTATTTGACAATGGTCCTGTTAGTCTTAGTCTATTCAAAGAACCTTTTAATAAAGTCATTTTTATATTATTATTCACAAAAGAAGGAGTCTGTATTGCAGGAATAGTACTATTTTTTGAATTTTTTATAATTTTTATAAGTTTAGGCTTTTTTAGAACTGGAGGTCCAGACTCTAGAAGAATATCAGAATCATTTTGCTTTAAATTAAATGTAGTTTGCAATTCTTTTGCTAATTGAGCATAAATTGAAGGTTCTGCCCAAATCCAAACAGCTCTTATTTTGTTTTGAACAAAAGTATCCCAAAGAAATGTCACTCTACCAATAGCTTCATAAGGATAAGTGCCATTTTTGTACATGAAAATTGATCCTTCTCTGGTTCCTTGTTCATAACACTTAGCTTTAAATGTACGTCCACAATCCTGATTAACATGGTGCATTAAACCTTTTATTAATTGGTCATAGGGTCCTTTTAGTTCAATACAACTAATGTAAGATACATCCTAAATTAATAAAATAATAAATATGAATACAGTAAAAATGGTAAATGAGTTTTATAATAATATTTTACCTGTGCTAAACAGTGATTTCCTATTGCTCTGTAACATGCTCTATAAGTTTTATCATGCGAACTTTTAGGTAATTTATATCCATCCTTAAGTACAATATGAAATCGTTTTGCAAACCAAACATGAGTTTCTAGCCATTTTCCATTTTTCTGACGTCGCAAATAGTCTAATCGGCGACTTTTGGGTTTGCGTCTATAATCTTTTCTACGCCTCACATGTTTATTGATTTGCTTTTCAATCTAAATAATATTTTAACAAAATATTTAATACAATATAAATTTTTTTTATATTTGTTAGTACAGATTTTTTATGAGCAGCTCGTAAATCTTTAGGCATTCGTTTTACAGTTGTGCTCATGACTCGACGGCGCATTTTTTTTGGAAGACGTTGAAATATCATTTTATTGCATTTTTTTGGAGTTTCTAAAAATAATTTGATATATTTAGTACAAACAATAAATAAAAAATTATGACTAATGTGTAAGTAATATTTAATATGAAATTAAAACAAATAAAGATTTAGAATAAAAATAAATGTACCTAGTATAAATTAGTATTAAAATATTTTTAAAGTTCACTTAGTTTTGACCAATACGTGTTTTTTTTTAATATAATAGTATATAACTTAGAGATTAATAGTCCTAAATTATGTTTAAATTATAGGCTATTAGCAGTGATTTAAATTTTAAATTGTATACCTAATATACATATATATAACGACTTACGTATTTCTTTAAGCAAAGCTTGTATTTCTTGATTGCGAGCGGATAAAAATGAATCTGCGTCGAGTTGATTCCCTGGTCTCACATGACCAGGAGTGTTATCCATTATCTTATGCAGATGATCCATAGCTTAATATGCTATTTTAAGTAAAATTTTATGATAAATTTAAAATACATTACACACTAAATAACATGTTTTAAAAAAATTGTCGGCTCAACGCTCAACTGCTCAAGTAAGCACGGCGCACATGGTCGTTAATACTTAATATAATTGATAAGGAAAAAGTGGTGATAATCACCACGGCTGTTATCTATAACGATAAGCACTTACTCGTCTGCAATTTTTACTCCATGACTGAGCGGTTATCTTATCAAATCCGGCTCCGTCATCATTCTTTACGTTTTATTTACAGGCAACTGTAAGTTAACACGACAACATTATATTGTAATATTCCTAATAAAATTCTATGTGGATATCAAATACCAATTGGCGATTACCATTACCGTGGCGGCGAGGCGTTCAAACACTGAATGAGTAGTGGGCACACGCCGCATTACGACTTGAAGTTTGTGCTGACTTCTAAAAGATTTCTGCCGAAAATTTATTTGTAAATTTTCGATCATCTCGGTGTTGCGTTTAAGTACGAGACACACCGCAGTCTGATGTAAGTAATATCGTCCGATTTATAATTATTTCGCTTAATGATAACTAGTAACTATGAACTTTTAGCATGTTTTTGTTATTAAAATGTAACTCCGACGAATAAAAATTGTTATTATAGCATTTGTTGTGGGTGAATCATATTATATTGATCCAGGTACGATCAGCCAGTTAGGAAGTGTAGAGATTAATAATAATTTTTCGTCATTACTGGTATTTCTGTTTCTTTAATCTTTAAAGTTGAAGGATTATGTGAGAGATTGATTTTGGTTTATGATGTTAAATTATTGTATTAGATATTACATATAGTTTACTTTAGTAATAGTATTATTGTTTAGTACTTACCAACAAATATTAATTATACATAAAAAACAATTAATGAGTTGATTATTAACTTACTTTTTAAAACATAGGTTTATATTTTTAGAATGAAAATACTACTTAATGATAACTTTAGTAAGTGTTAAATAAACTGTATTTTTAATTGATGATGGAATTATTTATTTAAGAAAATATGTATATATATTATAATTTGATAATATTTAGTTTTTTGGATATGAACTCATGTGTTAATAGTATTCTCTACTAATTAAAATTAATATTTGATGGATTTAATAATTTTTTACAAATGATCTAATTTCTCTATTTTTTAAGGACATTTTTTTAAATTACTCATACTTTTTATTGTAAATCTTATAATTATAAATTTAAATTAGATATCAAAATAAGTGTTATGAAAAATGTATTGTATGTATTATAATGATTTTATATTTTTAATTTTTAGAATGATTACAGACGTTCAATTAGCTGTATTTGCCAATGTATTGGGTGTTGGCTTATTTCTTCTAGTTGTTCTTTACCATTATGTCACAGCAAATTTCCCTTCAAAATAATTTTTTCATCGTAAGTGTATTACTTAATTATGTTAAAATTTATTATCCTTATTATTTTTTAGTTTTTTATTTTAGGTTGCAAGTTTATACATAATTGTATTTCAGTATATAGTTTAATTTAATTCTGTTTATTATAATACTATGATCCCTCATAAAACGTACATTTTATTATAATTTTTATATTAAATCTTAAAACCTTATTTGTACTTTCATGATAATGTTATCTTATGTATTTTGAATCATACATGTGTTCTCCAAGTACTTGTTTTTATATGATCTGTGAGTTAGTATATAATCTATATTTGTTGTCTTTTGTTTGAGAAAGTATTATGACATAATGAGTTTAAAAATAATATGTAAGGCGCTTAGTATCACCGAAAAATTATCAATTTTGCAAAAATATGATTCTAATCCTTCTTTAGAAAAAACAAAGTTAGCAGATTCTCTAAATATAGCACACTCAAACCTATGAACAATTATTGTCAAAAGAAAAGAAATAGAAAAATGTGCTATTGAAGGATCGAATAAGTGAAAGAAAATAAAACATGGAAAATATTTTTCCCTTGAACAAATTCTGATTAAGTGGATAACGAAAAGCATGCTAATTCTGCACCTGTTAATGGCTCTATTATTCAACGTGAAGCCTTAAAAATAGCCATTTCTTTAAGTATCACCGATTTTAAAGCAACAAACGGATGGTTGGATCAATTTAAAAAACGGAATCTAATTTGTTATTGTCAAGATAGTAGAAAATTCTCTAGAAAATTTAAATCGATAAATAATAAGGATGTACGTTCTTGGTTTTTGAACCTTTTACCTACATTTACAGAAAAGTATGCTTCAAAAGATATTTTTAATGTTACTGAATTTGAGTTATGTTTTAAACTAATATTTAATAAATTACTTGGTTTTAAAAAAAATACACACAATAAAATATGTTATAAAGGTAAACTTAATAAAGAACATCTTCATGTACTTATTTGTGCTAATTCTGATGGAAAAAAAAATTGAATCCTCTTGTAATTGGAAAACCATTAAAATCTAGATGTTTTATTAATAACAAATCTTTTCTGTGTGAGTATTTTGTTAAAAATACCAAGTTGACAAATAATAAACTTTTCTGCATTTGGGTCAAAAAATTATATGAAAGTATGATAAAAAAAAAAAATCGTAAAATTTTACTTATTGTAGACATTTGTTCAACTATTCAAAGAGATATTGTGTTGAAAAATGTGAAATTATTATTTTTCCCGTTTTACATAACAAAAAAACATCGACCTATGAATTTAGGTGTGATAAATGTTTTGAAACAATTTTATCAAGAGCACTATTTAAATGTTTAAAAAAAATCAAACATTGAACAGTGTAACATATTAGATGCATTACGTCATATAACTGCAGCGTTGAATAGCATACAGCCTCAGGTGATTGCTAAATGTTTTAAAGAAGTTGGAATTGAATGTTCTTATAATGAAGTAAATGATGATACTATTAATGAATTGATACAACCAGTTTCTTCAACACATGTAATAAAATCTAGTTGAGATAAAAATTTAATGATTACAGAATATAAAAATAATCAAAATAGTGAAGATTTGATTAATATTGCTGATGATAATTGATGTAATTCCTCAAGGTTTCTTAGATGTTTAAAATATGGTTTTTTATTTTATACACAATAAATAATTATGAAATTCAGTGTAAAATGAGTGAAGAATCAGGAATTTGTACTATTTTATATATTTTAAACATGGTAATCTTTTTTTTAATAAAATAAATAATATAACAATGATATACTGATTAATAATTTCCCAGAGAATTTTAAAATGATTAATGTTAAACAACATTGTATTTATTAGTGATTTTAATTTTAAATAATAGATTAGCTTAGAATATGAAATAATTTTAGACAAATTATAATATTTAAAAATATATAATTTTTACATTTTTACAGAATATCAATATGAATTACATTCCGGCGACCTGCAATAAATAGCAAGATGTTTAACTACAAGTTGGATATCATTCCATACTTAAAGTTAAATGAAATAATACTCAATTTATATTTCAATGTTGGATTTTGAATATTTCAAACTACATCCACCAATTCAATGTTTACAGAAAATAAGTTTAAATTAAAAAAGTATATGTAGGGTCATTCAAATTATTGAATTTTTTTTCTATACAGTAATTTGAATGGCCCTGCATCTAAGTGATATGTTTATCAATTTATCAACACAAAAATTATTTCATACAAATGAATAACAATTTGTTTTTTTATTTTTTTTATTTTAATTGTTTCCATACATTAAATTTAATATAATTTATTAGAGTATTATTATCAAAAATACATTATGTACACTATTTGCTTAAATTAAATTATTAAATATTTATACTTCATTAAGTTATGTAATTTGATTAATCAATTGTATTGAAATTAAAATTACAATTTAACTGTTTGTATAATTCCATGTACTGATAAATCATAATTAATAAAGGCATACGCTTTCTGTCTTTGTGTAAAACTTCTAGTATTTGGGTTAATCATTTTGTTTAAATCTCAGGTTAAGAAAAATGTTATTGTATATTCTTAAATTAATAATGTACCTTGGTAATTTAAGACATATGTCTAATTTAACAATAAAATAATGCATAGTCTCAATTATTCATCTGTATATTATCCAACAGGGATGGCAAGTTTTTTTAATGTTATATACCAAAAATAATTCAATATTTTTTCCAGCATGCCATTAAATAAATCGTGAAATATATGTATAAATAAGAAAACATTTATAGAATTTAAACTTGGCCATCGTGTCGTTTTATTTCTAGAATTTTATTTACGTTTTTAATGAACCTATAGTTTAAAGACTTCAAAAGCAATGAATAAGTATTCACAATATTGTTTTCTGATTTATTGTTAAAAATAAAATATATGATTATTATTTTTTTGGCGTACCATCTTGAGTATGCGTTCCACGGATTTGCCTTCACTGTTATACAGTATACCTACTCATATAATATGTTTATATGTATACAATTTTAATGAATAATGAACCGATAAATTGTTCATTGTTCACTAATTTTGGATACATTTATAGCTTAGGCGTATCTTATTTTAGGTCCCTACTCCCTATGCTGTAATATTATAGCAACAGCTATAAAATCAAAATCTTGGTTATCTGTGAGAATATTTTAATTGAGAACTTTAGTGAAACCTAGGTACTTACATAATATATTAAACTTAGTTTGTGAGTTATAAGATATCGAAATATCTAATGAAGATTTATATTTAACAATTTATTTAATTATCTTATAATCAGATTTCAGTTAGGTTATGTTACTATTTGACATTTGTACCCGTAGTTAGTCCACTGTATCACAATATTATTATGACTTATGATGTAGGACTTTAACTATTATATAATAACCACAAGTTTTTATTTTTTTATAATAAGCCCCAAAGACGGAAAATTTGATCACTTATGCATAAAATGCCTACCAAGTCATTTTTATCGAGTGACCGGCACTCACATACTATTACCACAGAATAACCGAAAAGGACGTTTTTTTGAGTTAAACACGGATTCTTATGGGGTAGGTACAGATTTGTAATACCTGGTGAAATATCAGTGTAAAAAGATATTTCCTATTATTCTATTTATCTAGCGAGATTATTATCTCAAAAATTTTGCTGACCATTAAAAATGTATGTACCTAAGCATTAGCAAATCAGTATGACTAGACAAAAATAAATTTACATTTTTGATAAATGAATGGATACACAGATATTCCAGATTATTCTGTGATATTACTATGTGTATTATAATCTTATTTTCCTACTTGAATAAGTTACACCTCTTCAATATTTTACGTTTATTTTTATAAATTGTGTAATAATCAATAATATATTATATTATGTTATGATAAAAATTGTTTTAGTACCTAGCCATAAGAAGAGATACAACCATACAACTGATAAAATAATTTAATATTTGACATAATTACATAAAGGTATTATTTTATAGTTTATACTTATACATCTCGTGATTTGTGCAACATTTTTATTTAGGTACCTATGTGGAACTTACCTATGAATAGTTTTGTTATAAATACCTATGTTTAAACTTTAAACACTAACTTGTAGTAGGTTCTCCTGACGGTACTGACATAATATTTTTAGATTGTACATTTAGATTTATACATTATATTATACAGAGCCGGCGCGAGCTATTTTGCCGCCCTGGGCTAAATTATAAATGCCGCCCTATTAAAACTAAATAAATAAAAAAAATTAAATAATCATACGATAAAAATTATGCAATAATATTGGTTTATCTAAAAACATTTATTTTCATAGTCATAATATTTTCGTCATAAACATAAAATTAAAGTATAAGGTAGTCTTTACATAACACATAGATATAAATATACTAATAATATTAATACAATTATAAAATTGCGAAAGTTTTAGCTAAAATGCCGCCCATAGGTATTTAGAAAAAAAATTGTCGCCCAGGCCGCCCCTGTCTTCCGCCGGCCCTGATTATATATTATAAAATCAATGATTGTACTTATGAACACTACATATCTATTTATGTAGATTTGAATTACCTAAATGCAATTATTATTACAATTGCCTATTTAAAACCCCTTAAAAAATTTAAAAAATGCGTGTAAGCTGATCTCTCATACTCAACATATATAATATATTTTTCTTTTAATCTAAACAATATTTTTGCTGAATAATTTAAACTCGAAGGTTCTACGAAGTAATATGACATTTATTAAAACATGACCTTTAAGACTGAATATATTGTATAGAATAAGCCAACAGTACGCCAACGTCTAACACGTAAATTGGGTTTTGTTTATTTTAGTCTAGCGATGCATCTAAACAAAAAGGTCAAACAATTTTATAATCACCGACATGTAAAAAAAAAAGCCTCGATATTATTATATCTTTTTGGTAGTTGTCGATGGAGTTAAGGTAAAATATTGTAACCATTTAGTGTTAACAGTTTTTGAAAATGTTATACAGGTACAAGAATACGCAAACGTGATTTTAGCAAACATTTCTCCTATCGCATTTTAATTGATCACCCAGTTACGGGCCCATGGAAGATGGATCTATTTATTTATTTTTTATGTGGGACGAAGTTAGGTTATTTTTTATTGCATACTCTTAGCGTTCTAAGCGTCTATTTTTACTAATTTATTATAAGTGAGTATAACTAAGATAAAAAATTTACGTTTTATAGAATTGAGAACTTTCGCAATTCAACTGACATCATTATATAATAAATAAATCGTGGTTTATTTAAACTATAAAATTGTAGGTTAAATTGAAAACATATTACACATTTACACAGTACATACATAGAAACATAACTTTAAAGAATAATAAATCAATATTAACAAAATAAACTTTTAATCGATTACATTTTTTTTTTTTATATGGCGTAGTTGCATATAATGATTTGTTGGTATTATTTCTTTAAAAGGTTTTTTATTACAATAATAAAATATATACAATGTACCTACGCATTTACATTTAATTTGAGAAAGAATTATATATTATTAAATTCAGACTATAAAAAATTGATTTGTTGATAAAATATCACAATACCCTATACATGTCAAAAACAGCTTCCTGAATGGTACGTGTATCTATATACATACATAATATAAGTATTAAACAGACTTTTCACGTGTCTGTCTGATGTAATCTGTAAACTTTTTACGTTCATTGTCTAACTTTTTGTCGATGATATCATCGCAAGCTAGAGATGCTCTCAATTTTGCAGTAGTGTGTTCGAGATCCTAAATAAAAAAATTTATCTTAAAATTTTAGGTCATAACTCATAAAATCGATAATTAGTTCGTTATTAATTCTGTAATATTAGGAAGAAGCATACAGGGTATACTGATTTATCAATCGTGTTCACGGCTTACCAATTTTTTCTTCAATAAAGCATAATATAGTTTAATTTTTCTGAAAATGATGAAACACCAACAACAAAATTCGAACAAGCAGTTTTTGAGTTATTTAACTTTTTATATCTACTAAACTACTAAGAATAATAGGTCCGTGATAATAGGTTTGGAAGATATAGAGGTTGTGAGGATTTGCAAATTTTAATAATTAATATTAATCTATCAAAATTTTAAATTTAGAAAAAATTGGTCTAAGTTTAATAAATATTAGATCAAATGTCATACCGATTTTATATTTTTGTTAAATCATTTTTAAGGACTATTATCCTTATTCCTTATTATAAATATCTTAACTGAAAAACTATTTGAATTTTAAATTAAGTATATTAATATTTTTAAAGAAATTACTTGCAAATATAAAATGTATAATTGATTTGAAAAATAGTAATTATTGTTAAAAAGTTTAAAAATTAAAAATATTCATTACTAAAGAAAAAAATGGGGTGAGCACGTCTGATGAATCACCTGCAGGTTATACGCAAGGCCTAGAGAGTAGTGGGATTACTATTCTCTGTTCGCTTTCACTAGTCCCTCACCCTCTTTTTTAATAATTTTTTATTTATTTTTAATTATCATAGTAATAGAAAACAATTCCATCAGGAACTTTTTACATAGTAAAGAGATACATTAATTACTTTTGCATTGACTAAGTTTTTTTTCATTATACTTGTAAACTAGGTATATGAATTAATAAAGTAAATGAAAAAAAAATGAATGAGTACTTTAACTATATTATTATAATAATAATATAAGATTGTAATTTCTAAGTAATAAAATCAAATCAATTTGACTAAAATATCATGCAAAGGTGTAATTAATGAATTCAATCTAAATTATATTATAACATATCTATTTTATAAACTAATATTGAATTGTCATTCTCTCAGAAAGAATAAACTGAAAATTTCATTTAGGCAGGCACTTCAAAATAAAAATTATGTTGTATTTTATGTGATTTTATAAGCTTCTTAGATTTGAGAACAAATGTTTAATTTAATTTTATCCGTTTTAAGGTAATTTTTAGTACGACGTTGGAGGTGTAATTATAATTATAATTTATGTCCATATAGTTTGATATATCAACTAATTAATACATTTGTATTTTAATTCAATGGCATTCTAATAGTATGGTTTGTAAGTAATAATTAAAATGTGATATTAAAACCTGTTAGATATTATTGAACTTGGGTATCTGTATAAATGATTAATGTTTAAAACAATTGGAGTGTCTACATATATAAAATAAACGAAAATATAACGAGTTGATATATGCTATACTCTTACTCACTTTTAAAAATGTTTCATTCCTTTTTTTTGCGATTTTCTTTTGTTTTTCCATTTGCTGCCGTCGGATTTTAAAAAAGTCTTCTTCTACCACTGCTGTCGTCTTGCGCCTGCTCAATCTGCGTAAGTAAAATTTATATTGTTTTAATGTAATATCATGGACACGATATGATTTACGAAAATAGGCATTACAAGTATACCTAGATGATTTATTCTACAAATTGTATTAATTCAATGAAATGTTTAAGCTATTTAAATTCCTTAAATAATTTAAAGATGATATATTTAATTATCGAGTATACATGTAAAGATAGTGAAAAATTACAATGAAAATAGAAGTCTCTTTTCGTTTCTAAATTGAACGTCCACGACATAAGAAATACGAAACTTAAAAAATATAAACAGTTATAAAATAATATATTTTTATGCTATACGTAGGTATATGGTTTGTATACTCACATAATATCTTTTAATTGATTTTCTAAGTCGATTTCCCTGTCTATATAACCACGCAATACTTGTCTGGCAATATCTTTTTCCGACATAATAATAATAATATCTGTTGAGCGCTAAAAAATATAATAACGTGCGTTTGAACGTAACGAATGTGTTCTATAAAATGCCATGTATAATCGGCGATTTGTTTAGGCAACATATATAGTTAGTTGCCAAGGAGGGCATATATATACAAGGATGCCCGTGTCGTGAGGGTGCCCTGCACATTTTATTATAGTAGGTAGTCATGTTGTATAATTTCTATGTGTAATGATACATACATAGGTATATCACCTGCAGACTGGAGCGTTGGTCGTAGTTTTCGGGTAGTACTACCCGGCGCGTATAATTTTACTATGTGTGTATAAATTATTATTCTATTATAATTCATTTTTTGAATAGTCTCAAATACTAATAAATAAATCGAATTATTATTATATCATACATAATTATTGGTGTATGCCTCTTGCAGATAGTGCAGCAAAATTAATAATTTCATATTTATATATAATAATGCGCACCTCTATTATACATAACAAATATATTTAAATTGATAAATATATTGAAAAAAAAAATTATATAAAAAAATTGACATAATTTTTATTTAAAATTGTATACATATTTTGAATAACCTTATCAGTATTTCAAAGTTTCAAAATGTCGAATTATGTATAAATTTGGTTCATACAACTTGAACAAATATACATGCAGTTTGATTTGGATTTTTGTTGTTAGAACATTTTGTACTTTCCTACCATGTTATTATTCATTCGTAGTTCTCATTCTTATTCCTGTTATAATTATTACTTATTGTACACCTGTATAGATTGTAATATTCAAAAATAAAGTTATATATTTAAAAAAAAAAACTTTGTTATTACAAAAATGTTATTTGTAGTTTTTGGAAAATTATTAAGTATAATAAAAAAATATTTCAAGGGGCTTATATAGAGCTTGGAATAATATCTATAATATTACGAACTAGAAAATTTTTAACACAGTGTGTTTTGGAATATTTACATCAGAGAGCATATATATTATAAATACATATATTAATTATAAACATTTCTACTTTGCGTATGTCCACCCTTCATATTGTTATTAAATTTAATTATTTTGTTAAATCATAGAAGTTGATATTTTTTTAAAAATGTAAATATTATTCAGGTAATATATTATATTCATTTAAAAATAAATAAATTACAATTCTACATTATTTTGCAGGTTAACATAACATAAAATAAGATCTATGTGCCTGTATCCCCACTTTTAAATTTCTAATTGAAACCTAAAATAATCGTATATAGGTACTTGTTTAGGTATACCTCAACAGTTTTTGAGTTATTTTCGATTTATTACAACTTATAAACAGGTACAAACTATTGATATGGGTTTCAACTTGAAATTTAAAAGAGGCGCTAGAGACACGACCTCACAAAATATGAATTTTAGCTATACGTATTATATCTACCTACGTCAAATTTTAAAACAATTATAATAATAATAATTATTATAATATACAGTATAAACTTTGTATTTTAAATTATTATTATTTATTATTTAAAAATTAGTTAGTTTGAAAGGTTTTTACTTTTTATGTTTTCTAAGATAATATTTTTAAAACGTTTCACTATGGTTTTTTAGAAAAATGTATTTCAATTAGCACTTTATATTATGTACTAGCTATTATTAAGATTTGTGTTATACTGTTATAGTGTTATATAATTGTATAGTTATATAATTGGGGTTACTACAGATTAAATATAGTATGTTTATGTAGTTTTATATTTATTTTAATTTTTGTTTATTTAATCTATGTTAGTATTCAGGTATTAAATCATTTATAATTTATAAGTTATAAACTCAAAATCAAAATTTTGTGATTTGTAGTAGTATATTATATTTCATAATATTATAAGTTATAACTATATTACATAACTACACAATATACAGTACACACCAATTGACACATGCAGCTGTTAACATTAGTCATTGCACTAAATTTTATAACATTATCATTTATAAATATAAATTATGATAGATACGCGTTCGTGTGTTCATGTATTACATTTATTATATAGTAGTTATGTTTTTCTGTGTATTTTATAATTATAATGTTTTCATAGTTATAATGGTTCTGTATAAATAGCGGTCGATACATAATAATATTTAAATAATATATGAGCTTCATCGTTGGTCTGTGGTTCCATAATATATGATGATGATGTTTACGATGCGTTTTTATTTGTTTTTAGTTCTCCAGCTGCATTAGATGTGTTTTTAGAAAATATTTTAGTGGTTAGTTTTCCCAACTTAATTGGACCAATCAGCCAACCAGGTATCTAGAAATGTTACTGTCTTCACAAGCCCGCAGACTGACATTGTTTTTGATATTATTTTTGCGTATTAAAATTTTAAATGTTTATAATCTGAAGTTTTATAAATTGTCCCAAGTAGATAAAACTTTATAGCCTTGTAGAACACAGACACACAATTCTCATAATATTACAATACTGTAAATAAAAATGAACACTATAACATGTGGTTTTGTGTTTACTTATTGATTCACGTTTATGACATACATAGGTATCCATAAAAAATGTCGCACATAAGTAGGTACCTGTAATATGAATAAGTAGTTAGTATACGTACGGGCATGGCCTGTTTTTGCCAAAAAACTGGTTCCCTGATTTATGCATATGTAGGTCTTTTTCACCAAAATGAAAAATGTATGATTCCCGTTTCCGCCAAAATTTATTTTTATGAAAAGACGTTTCCGCCAATTATTATTTGGGAACCATATACAAATGTATCTTTCGTTTCAAGTATTACATTTTCTTTTTTTCCAAAATATTGGCCGCACAATTTCACGAAACATCTTCACCGAGTAATTTTTGTTTTTGATATATAACTCAAAACATATTTAAAACCATCAAAAATAAATATTTTTTACCTCTTTTGCTTACAACAAAGTCCGTTTTAAGAATGTTATCAACTGTTTGATAAACAGAAGAGATACTGAATCGAAATATACGAATTTAACATTTTTCAGGAAATTATTGTGTACTAATTATAAATAAACTATGATACAGTTTATGCTTCCTTCCGTTATCGACGAATGACGATTATTAAAAATTATCGATGATTATCGCTGTAGGTATCTATTTATTGTTGTACCTATGATCTTTGCAATTACTTATAAATGTTATTACTATTATACCTCCATGTTATATTACATTACTATATTTTAAACTTACCACAACATAAATTGTTTGAAAATTAAAACTATTAGTTTCCAAAGTTTTTTTTGGCAGAAACGGGAATCGCACCTTTTTCATTTTTGGCGGAAACGGGTAACTCCCATACATACGTTTTCCCTAAGAAAATCGTTACTTTGGGATTTAAATTTTTGAAATTTGCAATTAATTGCATAGGTAGAGTTAAATTATGATAACTACGTCTGTATTTATAATACACTATAAACTAGGAACGTCATTTCGACTTTTTGAAAGATATTCTAACAACAGGGCAGGCCAAAAAAATTTCAGCTGGCCAATTTTATTATGTGCTATAGTTAGGTATTACAAAACAAATTTTTTATTAATATAATGATATAATATGATATCAATATTGTACATATACCTATCTAATAATACCAAGTTAATACCTACATTATTTAATTATTTATATTTTAGATATTATAGAAAATAAAACAAATTCTGAAATTTTTAACCAAACATATGTAGCACTGAGTAATTTTCACTATTCTTAAATTCTATCTTCTTTGATAAAAGGGGTTACAAAATGGTTGCATTCGTTTGTGAAAATTCAGTCATTTTCAACATCCGAATCAAACCTAAATTAAAAACTAAAAATGTATAAAAATATTAATAATTATTTACTATAAATTTATAAGAAATGTAAAACACGAAAATTATTCTAACTTTTTGGCTACATCACTGCAAATGTCTAATAACTCGAGTGTTAGGTAATTAAACAATACTGGAATGTGGGTTACAGCCGTTATGGCATAGAATATATCTAAATTATTTATAAATAATAATTTTATACACTATTCTGGAAACATACTATAATAATAATGTTGTCTTGTTAGATCATTATTATCATTATTATGATTTATAACTTACCATCGACAATGCCGGCTAATACATTTGGAAATAAACGATTTTAAATCGTGTTGTTAACTCACAAAACATAAATATGCAATAAATGGAAATAGATAAAAGTAAACCAATATTATTATCTACGTATTTCAATTCAAATAAAAAAAAATATATTAAAACCATTGGGCATATTTAGTAAATTTTCAATAAAATTTAATACAAAATCCGTCAAAAAAAAAGAAAAAGAAAAAAAGAAATAAAACATTTTTAATAAAAAATAGAACTGGGAGTCAGATTCTGCTTTGCGCCCTTTAAAATGTAGCGGTCTAGGTTATTACTTATACTGCCTATACGTTAATCTAGCCCTGCCGATGCTTGAGAGTTGAGACTAATTATATATAAAAAAAAAAGAATGATTTTTGTCCGGCGCAGAAAAGTTATAGTCAGGCCAAATTGCATATTGCTAATTTTTACTAATTTTAGGTATGCATAAGCATACCCTGCAATACTCCAAATGACGCCCCTGTTATAAACTACACTGCAAAGTGAATATTTAATTTAAATAATTAATAATATTCGTTTTAATGTAACTCATCGTATTGACGTATTATGTTGTACCTTATTTCAGTACCCAAATCCATGTTTTGTACAATTGCTCCTAAATATTAGGTACCTACTTTTAATCTTCAATATTCTAATATTATATTATATCGTATTATCACAAAAAAATCGATTAGTAAAAATTTTATTATATAAAAAGGTACTATAATTGATCTTGAGTTGGGGGAGGGGTAGATTATATATTACTTATATCTTGGTGTTTTGACTCCAGCTAGTTATGATAAAACAGTATATGTTAAGAATATTGGACTAAAACGTGAGAGATAACTAATCTGTATAAAGAAAATCTGTTTTATATAAATTAATTTTAACATGATGTACCTATTCAATTTCAGTTTCCAGCATAAGTATACATTAATAACTGTTAATTAGGTATTATGACATATGATTGTCACCAGGAATAATTTTACAGTTAGGACTTTCATGACGTCAAATCTTTTATTATTTTAAAAGATAATTAAAGTTTGGTACTTATGTGTTTTTGTTAACTTTCTGAATAGCCATTAAAAATTAATTTTTTTTCTTGACTGTTCAAACATAAATTCGTAGTTGTTTTATAATAATATATTATTATATTATACGTGTATTTACGAGAGTAAATGTATACATATTCTATAATATATTTTATACACATGTTGGTATACCACCTGCACAATTTATGTGCAATTCACATTTTGTTCCGATTATCTTTGTCAAAATGACAATAAATTACAAATTCGATAATCTGTTAAACGACCAAATTTCGAATGTCATTTTGTACTTATATAGGAATATTTATAAAAAAAACATCTGTATTGTTAAAATATCGTATAATATAATAATATTATAATTCTATATATCACGATGTTTGGGTCTTGCAACCGTATGTCTTTGCCTTCGTAATCTTTTGATAAGCGATATCGAGCGTATATCGATAATAAATAGTACATAATTATATAAACATATGCATTTGCATTATTATCAAACATTCGTTTCCTCACAGACGTTTTATTATTACATCTATTAAATAAAAATTTAAAGCTGTGGCCTGTACATAATATACACATATACACTTAGGATACACCTAGTGTATATAATATATATATTATGTATTGCAGTGCACCTATAATACATAGGGGGGCAACTGTTTGATAAGAAAAACAATGACAAACATGTTGTCAAAAACAACGATTGTAAATGCGCTTTCGACGATTGTGCACAACGATATCCATATACCGTGAAACGTTTTATTACGATATCGAGTTTTTCCCATGATAAGTTATATTAAAAAGGTACATAGCAGTGTGCCGATAAGTGCAGCCAGACCAAAAGTGTGTGACACTTGTTCCCGCAAAATATATAATGACGTGGCGTATTTATTACAGCATATAGTATATTATCATATACATCTGTTGACTGCTCTATAAACGGGATACACAATAATATATAGCCACGAGATATTTATACTTTAATTTACGGTAATTTGTTATTCGTTTATCCAGCCACCCGGGAGGTCGAGACGAGAAGGGTATTCGTTGTATTGATCCGCGGAAGATAAAAAATTGGATTTAAGTATCGAATTTGATATTATTTATATCGATCATATCTAACGTACTAAACTGTAATTGCATTACACTGTATGTATGTGCACCTTTTTAATAGTATTGTAAATTGTATATACCTATTACACTATATAATAGTATTGCGATACGATGATAATAACCGCGTGGTGCAGTCGAGCGGAAAAGGAAACGCAGATTTTACTGATGACCGAACTTTTTGTCGTAGGTATAATTTATTTTTTCATTATGATCATTATTAACTTATATGTTATATGTACAGTATTAAATACTTAATTATCACACGTACGTGTTTATGAAAAAAATCGGTGAGTACACTTTGAGCTATATATTACCTATACAGTGTCAACGTGTTCACCGAGTTTATTCGTTTCATACGATTATAATATAATGTATCAATATTTAAATTTTTCATCTTTAAATAAAAAGTCACGTGCTCTAAAGAAGACCTGTGATGATTTTAAATGTTAGTACATTTCCCATTATCTTTAGCCGACAGCTATACACACAAAATTAAACTGCACTTTTTGTAAATGTGCGTTGGATGTTAAGCTTTGTCAAAAATTTGAAACAATACATTTGGTAACTTAATGTTTATAAAGTCATAATGTAATAAATAATAATAATGGAAAATCTAAAATTTGATTAAAATCATTTTTACAAAATGGAAGGTAATTTAAAAATTAGATTTGTCATTATATGTTATCAAATACTAAAAAAATATATTCATTTAAATTATTGAAAATATAGTACACAGTACAAGTATAAAATAATAATAATATTATAAATCAAAGTACACTATTAAAAAATATTAAAAATAAAATATGTATTTTATTTTGAAATCTTAATAAATGGTATAATACATAATATTGTATAAATAATAATATTTGAGTATACAAAGTCGTTATTGACGATCCTCATGACTCGAGCCGAACGAACAAATTGATTGTATTATAATTTAGACAAACTTGTCCTCTTGGCTCAAGGGATCAGGTCGTCGAGAATATCATAAACTCAATAAAATTAACAACTTACGTTTAAGATTCTGTTGTTTCTGCAGGATAGAAGTTTGTTGTCGTGTCGTTGCTGCTGCCGTGGTCTGTGCTGTACAACAATTAAAGTATGAGTGCAGTGCGTTAAAAAATTTCCTATCACTACCGTTTCACCAATTACCAGCACACAACACTTGTTTCAACACATATACCAACGACCCCCTTCCATTTGACTTCCTCCAAAAACGTAGGTAAGTACACGTATTACAATTATATTAGATGCTAAATATTAAAAAAAAAGTCGTTTTTCCTCCACCTACTAACTATTATCACATAAAACGGTCACAAAACCTACTCAACCGTAAATATTGTCCATGTTTGCTCACTGTGTCATCGTGTATATATGATATTATTATTAATTGTTTTATGTGTCTTTAACCTGTGGATTATGGCAAAACATAAATTAAAATCATATAATAAAATATAATTTTAATGATCCTGTATATCGGGGAACCAGAAATTGTATTTTATTATTTCTAGATAAAAATATATAACTATTAAAAATTTAAAAAAACTGACTAACATAAATCAATAGGTGATATTTATACAGTATATTATATGTGTTTAAAAGTTTTAATCAATCATTTAAAAATTTAATGTACAAACGAAAAATACAATCTAACAATAGACATGCCTAAGGCAGTCCAAAGAATCTTTAGGGCGACCAAAAGTTTAACAATACTAGTTGTAGACTTATTTTCGTTTTACCCGATAACCTATTTTAACAATATATACATACATATATATTTTCAGCTAATTATAAGACATTTCCACGGTATTAATTTTTCAAATTTTCGTTTTATTCAAAGTTTATTTGTAAATCAACCTGAGCTTTATTTTTTTTACCACGAGTCGTTATAATAGTGAATAGAGAGCACGTATGAATGTTTATTGGAGAGTGTTTAATATGGAAATAATAAATATTTTAATTATTAATAAATAATAATTAATAAGTATTAGTAATTAGTTAGTAATATTTTCATTTAAGTTTCAAAATTATACATGTAATAATAATTAACGGTTGGCGATATCAAAACTATGAAAAGTTGCATAATAAAATAATACTTAAAATTAAAAAATTACAATCATAAATAAACTATGATTTTTTATTCGCTAAAACTAGTTTTATAACAAATTCTATTTAAATTTATCTATATATAACCAGGAGAAAATTTATATAGGGAGGTTTACAAGGCGATTCTTTAACACTTTTTTTTAATACATCTATTTAATATTTTATACTGTTAACATATGATAATGTTCAATTAACCAACGACCGTTATCAATAATAATTATCATATATTGCAAGTGGAATTTTTCCGTTATAAAATGTGTTACTAATCTATCTAGAACTGGTTATTTTATTTAAATGATGTAATTACATATAGTTAGATATCATTATTATTATAGATATAGATACAATAAATAATATTAATATTATACACTCAGATATTATTTATTATTATTTATATTAAACATATACATTTTATTAATTATTAGTAATATTACAAGCATTGGATGAATGTCGTGAAAAAATTTATTCAACAATATACTATTTATTGTTAATAAGTATCTTCTACTTCGATAGAACGTAGTTTTTTCCTCAGGTTTGATAATTTTTATATAACTAGAATAAAATATCAAATATTTATTACATACGTATTGTATTATTCGTTTAGAATAACTCTTGCTTAGAATTGTATACTTGAATTTAATAATTGTTTTTCAACAATCAAAATCATTATGTTCAATAATGTAGTCTTCAAATATTTCTTATATTCTAGAAAGTTTAAATTAACAATATATATATATATATTATTATTTTTTTTATGCTAATGAATCAAAGGTGTAAATTCAAAGAAAAAATAATCCTTAAATGAAAATATTAATTTTTTTAATTTTTAAATGGCCTGCACGATATAAATTAATTTTTTTTTTAATTATTATTTTATAATAAATTTTGACAGTTAAAATATTGAACTTAAATTAATATGACTAAAATATCGATTCGAAAATATAAATGATGTTTAAAATAAACATTTAATAATAATGTAGTCATTAGATTTATATTGTTTATAATAAAAATAAAGATGTTAAGAATATAATTTTTTTTTTTGCTAGGAAAATGATTTAATTATTGAAGAGAATGTTGAAAAATTTAAAAAAGGACAATAAGTAAGTATTTGTGACGTTATTTTGAGCTTGTTGAAGATGAAATGAGAAATTTCACAGATTACGAGGTAGTTATAGACTATACAGAGTGGGAACTGGAAAGTCATACAACTAGAGTAAAAGGAAATGAGAATAAAAGTAGGTGTGATAAAATTTAAAACGGGATAAGGCAGTTATGTAAATACTAGGGAGATAAAGATTGTGAAATTAAGTTTGGAGCTTGATAATTTGGGAATAGGTAAATAGTTTTAAGTTATATATAGTTAAGCATTTGATATTATTGCTTTTTGTTTTTAATTTATAGACTTAAAACATGGTTAAGATCTCAAATGGGCAAAAAAATTGACAGAATTATAGGCTTTATTGTATAAAGAATTTAGAATATACGTTATATACGTAAATATATTAAATATAAATGATTTTATTAATAAAAATGCAAAGAAAAAAGAAATTTTAAATTATTATTGTAATAACTGATGATACTGATATATTATTAATGATAATTATATGTAATTAAAATTAAATAAATGTTTTAAAAATAATAATTATCTATGTGTATTATGATTATCTGTTTATAATTTTTTCAATTAATTGTTTAAATATAACGGTTAGGTATATTTTCAATAAATTACAAAATAGTATAATTGATAGGTCATTAAAAAAATATTATTTTCTTCTCCTTAAATAAGAGCTGAATCCAACCCTGTACCCAATGGATGCAAGTTTAAAATATATAATGAGTTTAAGAGGTACGTAACTAGGGGTACAGTCAATTGGTCGTACGAATTTGGTCGTCTGAAATTGGTCTTTTGAAAAATTGGTCGTTTAGAAAATAAATCGTTTTCCAAATAATATGTATATTATATAAAAATTTTATTTTGTCGTAATTTTTCTTAAATGAACGTGTAAAACTATGTGTGAAAAGTGTTATAAATTATGAGTTATCCCTGATATGTATTTATCAATTAATGTTCTATTATTATATGTTTTACGTATTATATTTATCCTCTCAGCGATGTCATTATATTTCTTTAGTTCTTTCGTTTTCTAGGATTTTTGCTCTGGTAAAATATTGGACTATTTTCAGACGGTTTAGATTGACAGTTTAAAATTTTATACGTTATCATTTAACTTATTATCGCAAAACGTATAATAATGATTATTTTCCATTTGTACCTATATATAACGTTCTTAAACCAATATTCATGTTTTGCGACTAAAACATATTTCGACCAATTTATCAAACGATAAATTTTAAATGACCAATTTTACCACCCCTAATTAACGTAAACTTACGTAACTATACTTCAACAAGAATTAAAATAGGTACTTATAATGATTTTTATAACTTACAAATTGAAAAAATAATTAAATAGTAAAAAATAGTTAGGTATATAGTTAAATAGTTTCATAATATTTTAGTTTATAGATATTAGATATTGTAGTTTATTAATAATGATTTATAATGATAGTGTTATCGATTAAACTACTTTAAAGAATATAATATATTATTATATGTATTATTAGAGTATTAGATATTAAGACATGTAACTAGTATGTTAAAACAGGAGAGAAAACAAGATTAAGTTAACATATTAACAATTTATTTTTAACTTTAAATAATTTTATACTATTTTCAACATTTTTGAACAATTAATTTTCATTAATCTCAAACCAGATGATAAGGAAATATTTTATAAATTTTCTTATTTCCATGTTTTCATTTTCAGTTATTTTAAATATATTAATATGAGATATTTTTAGTTATGAAGTATTAATATACATTTTATAAAATTATCATGCTTAAACTCTAATCTGTTAAAAGTGTAAATTAAGCTATACGTGATATTCATACTTTTATGAAAACTTTAATTTCTTACTTACTGTGTACAATACATGAAATAACTAGCAATTCCCAAATTTAAAGTGTTTTCTGAAGTGTTAAACGTGATATCTGCACAAGTAAACGTGAAGTTTTACAGTGAGTAAGTCGAAGATACTATAAATAAATAAATACTTTAGTGAAATAGTAAATAAAATAAAAACATTAAACACATAGTTTTTATAAATTTGTAAAAATTGAAAATAAATTTACCAATGTGTACAATTAGAATATAGAAATTGTCTAAATCTTTTTTGTATAAAGCGCGATTTCAGCAGTTTGTTTTAGACGATTTACGGTAAGATATTATTGTCATGTTGTGCGTTTATCTCAAAATTTCTAATACGGGTTCGTTATATTTCTTGTGTTATACTTTTAAATTAAGTTTAATCTATCAATAACATTGAAAATAACCAAAAGAATGATGTGGAGCAATCTAGAGTTGATATACAAGCGTGTGCAATAGAAAACGGTAAAAACTATAGTAATAACCACTAAAATTGTTTTAAAAAAACTTATCACGTAATAAACCGATAGGTATACTTTATTGTTTTATGATTTTGCGACTAGATATTTAACTTGTACTGGCCCGACAACCACAAACCACCGTCCCTCAGCTCACTACTTGCCATTCTCTGGTATTATCTCCCCCATCAGTCGTGTATGAACATCTTATCTCGGGTTTTTTTTTCTTTCACAGTACAGTGTATCTACGGTATATAATTATTTGATTGTCTCGCAGTTATGTAAGTTCAAATACACTCATCTGATAATTAGACATATCGTTTTATATGGCCGCATACCTAGGTAAACACTCCTCTGATAATCGGACATAACATTTTATACGATTGCATACCTATAGTATGTATCTGCCAATTTGCGCGTATACCTATACCAATTATATTTTTTAAATGATTTGGTTATATACCTACTTACATATTACACACGGGTGCGAAGTGAATCTGGCTCTAATCTAATTAAATACCATTAAATAACCTTCATATTAGCGTAGCGTCGTTGTTCAAATGTGTTGCGAAAATTGAACCATGCCAACTATATATATCTTATATTCCATATAATATGTCGTACATATCGATAAAATCTAATTTCAAAAAAAATTATAAAAGTGTATTTTTTTTTTTTATTCTTTACCAGCAGTAGAGTCAATTTTATATTTCGAAATGTTTGATTTTAACGGATTTTGGTAGAGCGATTTTTGAGAGTTATGTTAATATGAAAACATAATTTTTTTTTTTAACTAGACCTTATAAAATTTAATAAAATCAATATTAAAAGATAAGAAGCAAGTGGGTACAGCTGTACTGTATGGTAGGTGTAGGAGTGGGTCACTGTAATTAATGTGTTAAATTTGAATTTAATATTCATTGTACTCGTATATGAAAACAATTCTAAGCATTGAATATAACGCATAATATGTCACCAAGTATATTTCAAAATGTGTTTTTTAATATTACTATTAGATAAAGTAATGTATTTTACTATTAGTTATACAGAAGGTTTAATTCATTTTTAAAATATTATTGTGTGTATATAATATAATAATATACATACATGTTTTATGTGCTCATCAATAATATTTTTGTATTATACTAAAATAATAAATATAATTATTCATAGATATGTGTAACTTCAACCAAATTTTGAATTAAAATGTCAATAAAGATTATGATTATATATTTATTAGATTTTTTTGGTTTTAGTGTAAGCTACTTAAAATGAACTTTAAATCTTTAAGCTTTAGCTATAAAATATAGAATATATTTTCAACTACAAGCCAATTTGTAAACTTTCGTGATTTTGACTAATTTTTTCAAAATCTGAAATGTGAATGCTTATAAAAATAAATTATATCTATGTAAATATTTTTATATATTTATAAAAATTTAAGCTTTTTGACTGAGTGTAAATATTTTTATACACATTTCTTAAAATAAAATTAAAAACACAAACAATTTAAAATGTCTATGAATAGCTCAAAAAAAGTTTAAATATTTAAAAAATTAAATAATGTATAGAATATTATTTTGAGTAAATTAACCGATACTTTGAAGTATCTACTAAAGTACCTATCTAAATTTAAAGGTACACAAAAAAATAAAATCGATTTTAACAAAAACTTGATATAAGCAAAAATTCTCGTTTTTTCTTAATTTTTTTCTTGGTTATTTAAAAAATACTGTAAAATTTTAATTTTATGGAAGTAAAAGTATAAACTAGATACAACAATTTATTAAAAATAACACTTTAAGTTTAAAATTTGAGTATTTTTTTTTACTTCTTATTATGTAGAATGTAGATGAAAAAAAAGTCGTGATTGTACAATCATTATATTTATCGCTCCGCTCAGAACCTAATACACGTTTTTGTGTAGGTATATATTGTAAAATTTAATGAAATGGTATTTTATATACTTCATTAGATTTCCATATTTTTTCAATAAATAAATCTGTACCTACATTTTTTTACAATTATTATGTAAGCTAATTTTTTGAGACAAAACTTGATAATCATGAAGTGAAGCACCTACCCTATGGCAATTCAACGATACTTATAATTTGATTAAGGTTTGTGATTTAAAAGTTTATAGACTATGAAATTTAAAAGAATTTAAAAAAATTATTATGTAAATTTAGATCTATTAAAAACAATTTAATCCAATTTATTTATTAATTCGTTAAAATTATCATTTAATAAATATATGTACAATAGTCAATAATTGATGATTTTACAGTTAAAATGTATAGTATATTTATAATTAAAAAAAAAAAACACAAAAATCTTTTAAAAAATAGTCGTTAAAAATTAAAAACTAAATTTATTTTATAGTTAGTACGTTTAAAACATGTTAAATTGACTATGAAGTATAATAAATACGTATTTTAAATGGTTTCTAATATTTTATTTATCGATCTTTCATCATTAAAAAACCATTCGTGCAACTACCTAAGAAAAAATATACTTTGTATATAATAATAATACTTAAATTAAAAATTCAAACAAACCGGCCCAGTGTATAGGATCTTTGGAAAACAAAAATCTCTTAAGTCGAGTTGATAAATAAAATAAAATTCAACGGATCAATCAGGTGTCACTGAATCATATTTAAGGACCAATTTGAGTTCATATCGATTCATGGAATATTTAGTTATTGATAATGCGACTGGGAATAAGGATAGTTTTTTTTTTTAATTTTTATGTTATTTTATAGTTTTAATGAAAAATGTATTCAGCTCGAAATCACATGGTTGTGAATGCGTAACAAACACATTAATTATGACA